CAGCCCGGTGCATGATAGCAGTGAGGTCCAGGAGGCTCCTGACGAGTCCCAGCGGTCTCAGGAGGTTCTCCTCGCCTGCCTCCATGTGTCGGGCTGTGGATCATGAGATGGTTCTGTAGCACAGCTCAGAGACGTCCAGTCCAGAAACACTTCTGTGGAATGAAGACAAACTAAACCTGCGGTTCATGTTGTCATGGAGGTGATGTTCGTTTCCTCCTCCTGCTCCTCACCGCCTCCTTTCTCTCTCCTCACAGCTGCTCCTCATCTCCCACTCAGAGCAGAGCCGGCGCTGTGTCTCCGGTTCTGTGGCCTTCATGGAGGACGAATGAGGGACAAGACGTCCAGCTCCCTCACACACACACACACACACACACACACACACACACACACACACACACACACACACACACACACAGCGTCTCCTCTCACGCAGGTGGACGTAGAGGATGGAACAGCGACGTGCAGCAGGTGATGGAGTCCTTCCTGCTTTCATTCCTCATCACAGCAACATGAACATTTATGGGTCAAGTCCTCAGAGGGAACTCCACACTCACAAATGTGTGAAATGATCAAATTGTGTATCGCTGAGAAAAGCAAACAACAGAAATGCGGCGGTCACGTGTGTGTAGCAGCATCTGTGGTCTTTATTGAAGGAGCTTTTAGTGGCAGATTGTTTGGTGTTCAGATGCTGCCGTGCTGCTGCTGCATTAGGCAGAATTAGGACGAAGAGCTGGTGTGTAATTAAACAAGTTGTCATTCATGTACAATCCGATGCATATGTCAGAATGAGCCGGCAGCTCTCTGAACAGCAGCTACACTGCAATTACTGCTGGGAGATAGGTGTGTGTGTGTGTGTGTGTGTGTGCGCGCCTCCTCCACAGTAATGGCTGTATGGATGCGGCGGTCTAAATGTTTTCATCTGGAGCATTTTATCGTGGTTCACCTCACTCAGCCACTGTCACGCAGAAAAATAGAAAAGCTGCAAAAGGAGGGAAGGATGGAGCAGAACCAGAACCCAGCTGGAGGCAGAACGGTAAACGATGGCAAACGCTTTAGTTCCAGAATCTGTAAAACATTTTAAAAAGATCTGTGTTTGGTGACAAACAGGAGAAGATGCAGTGTGCTGCTGACGCCTGGAAACAACCTCCTGGTTCTTCACTGTGAACAATCAGAGCAGAGCTTCTGGTTTTGTTCTTGTTGCTCTTCAGATGAGGAGGTTGAGGCTGAAACAGCAACGAAAAACTCTATCAGAAGAGTTGGTCAGGAGGCTGAATGGACCGACAGGTGAGCAGCAGCACACACCTGTTCTGGTCACGGTCTGCATCTGATCCCTCATCAGGTGAAAAGAGAATTAAAAAATCTCATCAAATCGCCACAAGTGTGAGAAAATATGTATTCAGGGCCTTTAGGAGCATATGAGTGTATTTTTAGTGGAAGCTGTCCCACGCGTGTCTAAACCCACATGTGTTCACTGAGTACACGTATGACAGGAGAATCACTGGCAGCACTGATCCAGATCTGTGCTGATGCGTTCCTGCCTGAGCGATGAGCAGAACCGCGGTCCGACGTCCTGAACACGGCCGGTGCCTCCGAATGACTCTGAAGTGGACGCAATCATCTGAACCTGCTGTTTAAAGATCCTCATTGAGGAACGCTGTTCTCTTGACCTCCTGACAGAAAGTCTCGTTTTCAGCTGAAATTATTTTTCTAATGCAGATTTAGCAGATTTTTTATTTAGTGTTTTTCCTCCATAGCGGCTTATTAAGGTCATTCTGTAAATACCAATAAAGGACAGCGGAGCTCCTGCAGCCACGATAAATGAGAGGAATTCTTCCCTTTGATGTCGGTAAAGGTGAATAAAATGAGCTATTTGTGAAACTATTCAGGACTGTAGCTGGAAGCGAAGCACCAACAGATCCCAAAACACACCAACTCCAACCCTCTTTCAGTGCAAAGTATTTCCTCTGAAGGATGCTCTGGAATTCAGTTAATCAGCATTTTGAATGTAGTTCATATTAGTGAAAACATGCACAGTTCAATGAAGCCTACAAAGTGCCTCTTTTTATTATGGTTATCAGCTATTAATACTTAATTAACGGAGAGGCAGGATCATGATTAGATGTTCACTTACCACCCCCATGTGGCGACTCGCTGCCACTACATCCTGGTGACACAAACTGTGAAACGGTTCCGTCCAAACATTTGTACAACAAATGTGGACACAGACACAATCCCACCCTTCAGGGGGAACGAGAGCTTCAAGGCATTGCTTTGTTCCTCCCAGTCAGGCCACTCAAACCAGACCAAGGACGGAATCTCAGAGGTTACAGGTTTGACTTGTGTGAACCTGATTCACTGAGTCCAGCATGACTGGTGGAATTACATCAATATTATTATTATTATTATTGTTATTGTTATTGTTATTATTACATTAAGTAGTGTATTTTCTTACTTTATTTTTTATTATATATACACACACAATTATCAATAATATAAATACTTCGCTATAAAATTAAATTGTGTCTTATTTATTTATTCATTTATTGTTGTTGGACCGTCATTGATGCTCTGGCTTTCATGCCAATCAATTGAATTGTAAAATGTGAAATTAGTGAATAATAACAATAATAATAATGATAATAATAATAATAATAATAATAATGGAGCTGACGGTGTGATGTGGTCCGTCTGTTTATTTCGGTTTGTTCACAGTATATTAAAGGCTTCGTTCCTGCGCCAGTACTCGCTAGAATAAATACATTACTGCGCTGCAAAGACACAGACTGTGACGGAATGCGACCCGGTTCGGGGTGTCGACGCCTCCGCAGGTGACACACTTTTCTTTTTCTTTTTTTTTACTACCAATAACAACATATTCTTACTTTAATATAAATGCTGTTGTGCTGCTCCTAAGACTACAAATCGTCCTAATATCATACTTTGGTAATTCAGAGGGCGCTGCTGTTCGGAGTTCATAGTTCGGGTTCGTTCTGCAGCGGGTTGGAGTCCGGCCCAGTCCGGTCTGTCGCGTGCCTCCAAAACAGGAAGTTTTAGAGTTCGCTGCTGCGAGCTAGGTGGCTAGCTAGGTGGCTAGCTAGCGACGGACACACGGAAACGGCGATGATTTAACAAATGTTTGGATCTTGTGGGAACCTGTCAGCGCTGCGGGGAGCTCCGGACCTGCTGGGGTGTAGCTGTGAGTGTGTTTCTCTATCGGCGTGTGTTTGGGGCGCGGGTCGGAACCATAGCGTCAGAAGTTTGTCGGCTATCTGGGAAGTGAGCTAGCGCTAGCTTAGGTTGTGTTTGTGTTGTTAGCCTCCAGGTCGGGCTCTGGGCCACAGTGCTGACCGCGGTACCTGCTGTCTCTTCGTGTTTTGCCTTTCTAGCCTAAGTAGCTGGTCACATAGCACCATAACATGAAGTTATGGAGGAGCGAAAGCTGAAGAGAAAGAGTCCCAGGACCTCCACCAACGCGGCGGCTCCGACCAGCGGCTCTGGCCGAAAAAACAGCGCTACGTCTGGGGGACGACACGTCAGCTACAGCCACAACATGGGGACCCACTCCAGCCAGAAGAGCAAAGGCAGGAGGTAGGAGCTGGGCAGCCATGGCTCCATCCCTGGCAGGAGCTTCCTAACGGCCTTTTATTCGTGCTAGAAATACAGGAACGTGGGCAGCTTGTCAGATTAATTATCAGGAAGTGTCATCACGGACTGTGTTTTTGTTTTTGTCTTTTTCCAGGGGAGCCAGAGATAAACCCAGACCTCAGCAAGGTTTGGGTGGCAAAGCGAATCAGAACCAGGGCCAGGCAGCACCGATCATCCAGCACTCCTTCCTGACCGACGTGTCAGATGTGCAGGAGATGGAGAACGGCCTCCTGGGACTCCTCAACGACTTCCACTCAGGGAAACTGCAGGCATTCGGTGTGTACTGACACCGGAGCTCCCACCAGAGCACACACGGTCTGAACCGGTTCTGCTGATGGAAACCAGAGCTGCAGTTCAGGGACAATCCAGCTGGAACCAGAAGGTCACATCCACTGTACAAACAGACACATAACCTTTGTTTCTCACCGTCTGACGTTAAATCAGACTCA